TGAAGAAAGTTTGAAGCAGCGATTAAGCGAAACAGCTACTGTGTCAGAGGCCAATCGCACTAAAAAGCTCAAATGTGACGTATTAAGTAAAGTTTCTCAAAACCCAGCTCGGAAGAAAGACTTTAAAACGACAAGAAGCATCTCTGTATGGTAAGGCTAATGGCAAATATTGTTCCTTTCTTATCTGCATCTTGGGCAGTTCCTTTTCATGGACTTCCGGAAGATACTAAACAAGAAGGAGGCCCTAAACTACTGTTAAAAGGAGCGCGAAAATGACCACTGTGGCCTGGGTTCGATTCCCGCACTCCTTTACAGAGGACAAAGAACCACTGTGGTTGTTTGACGAGTATCACTGTTAAATTTTGATATCTTACAAATATCTGTACAAAAACCATGAGTATCTTTTGTTTTTTTGTTCGATTCAGCGAGAGAAGAAAAACATCCTTGAACTTCTAAAACGGCGGCAAGATGCCCAAGAAGAAGAGCTGAAACAAAATCTAAAACTGGAGCAAGATGTTGAGATGGAGAAGCTCAGAAAGGTAAAAAAAACCCTTTCTATGGGCTAAATTCATTTTTAAAATAATATTAATAACCATAAAAATCAAAAGATTGGAGTTCAATTGCTACTTTGTTTCGATCCCTCCACTTGAGTAGTTTCCAACTAGATATTCATCGCATGAAATAAAATGTTAGAACCACATTGTATAGCTTAAGAAACAATACTGCCTCAGTGTAAGCTTTCATTTGAATAATCACACACTCGGATTTTCTCACAGAAGTAGATGTTGAACTTACATTTATAGCACACTCTTATATTTCGTCTGATCCTAAAGCCCTTTCATTTGTTTCCTTTTTTAGCGCTTTACTAATACAACCACCATGACAGTTCTGACTGGAGGGTCTCAGTATATTTACCACAGCAGCGAAATGCCAGACAACAAACCAGTGGAGACGCACAAAGAAACCAGGTGAGAAGAAAAATCTTCCTAACAGAAGTCTTTTCCTGCGTGTATTTGCTCATTTTAGACGTAGCTATGAAGAGGAGAAAGCGACCCACGATAAAAAACTGCCACTGTTTTTGGCGACTCAAAGCTCAGCCCGTCTTACCAACAGACAAATCTTCTCGCGAGGTGAAAAGAAAAAAATCATGTGTTGTGCAATGATAGGGAAAGACAGAACGTTGGGTCTTACAATGACGGTAGTTGTAGAGGCACTGTTTTTGGTTCATTAAAATCAGGACACTGTGAGCGAAAGAATCAGAGTTTGAAGACTAAAGATTTTTGACGCTGTTATCTATTTAACAACTAGCATTGAGCTCAAGACTTTTATCGCACCCTTATTAACTATCCTGCATTTTAATCGAGTGCGAATGATCACACTATCCCGGAGAAATCTAATTTTCGTTCAAAACTTAACAAGACAGGCTTGTGTTTTCATTGAATATTGGTACAAATGAGTCACGTCCCTTAACTTACGATCCATCACAGAATAAAGAGTCTCATAGCCGATAATATTGCAGAATTTGTGATATTTGATAATTGTATTGTATTTTTTTCTGTTTGACTTTCAGTATTGTTCAGACTGACGAGAGCATTGTGCCTATTCTGACTCTGGACAACGCAGCTCAGACAGAGAAAGAGTTTAACAGGTAAAGACTGAAATCAAACAGTTCACTGCATACGACCACTTAAACATTTTGTAACATCGTAAACAGTCGCTATTTTACAGCACTTTATGCAGAAATTATTTTAGTGTCCTTGTGACGAGAAACGTCGTGAAAAACTTTTTCAAATTCGTTACTGCAGGTGAATTAACATTTGCAGCTTCACTGTTGTGTTAGAGTGCTCTTCGACTTAGTGTCGTAAACTAAAACCAAAGTAATTACAACAACCAATCAGAAGAAAAGAAAATAACCCGAAGAGCTAATGAAAACTCAAATTGCCTAAAGCGAGGGAAAACGCTGGCGACCAACTCGTGATTGGTTTTTAGTTTGATTGGTTGAGAGAGTGGCGCAAGTTTCTGGACAAATCGCAGGGCAGCGTAAAGCAAAGCCAATGCACAGGGCGTATTATCGCCATGCATAGAATGTTAAATCTTTCATTATTATTTTTATTTTTTCCCAACTGGACACTTGCCTTTTGTTTCCTCAGCCTTGATGTGCAAGCTACGGCGGCTCTGGATGCTGACCTAGAGGCTCAAAGACAAAACATGTTTATCAGAGCTCTCAAACTGCTGGCCAAGAAATTGCGGGTTAAAAGAGACATATCATCCGAGCAAGAAAACAAGGTACATTTACCTTTAATGGCTACGGTGGAAAAATAGAAAAATAATAGAATTATGAAAAAGATAAAAAAAATTGTCGTTAATCCAAAAAAAAAAACAACAACAAAGTCCACCTTTCGGATTCCAGATTTAATTTTGGTTTCGAAAGTTTAATCAAGTGAAATACTGAGAGCCTCAGGGAGGCTTTACAACAAGTTCATATCAGTCAAGCTGCAAAACAATTGGACATGGATTTCCGTGCACATTTAGTTAAAGGAGAGTGCATCTTGCGTGAGTGTATCGTGTTTGCGTGCACGCGCGAGTTGAACGCACCTTTGAAATAGATTCGAAAGTAAATACTAAAACCTAAGAACGGACTCGCATACAATTTTTTGGGTTATTTCTTTCTTCGTAGTTTGCTTTGGAAATCAAGCAGGCTATTGGTGCAGTGGCATTCAAAATGGCAGCAGAGTACAGGCGGAAATCTGCTGAGCTTAGAAAGAGTCTGGCAGCAGACGGAAAGGTAACCTGGCCTTTATGATACTAGAGCTTCCAAGGTCCCATTTGGAAATTGCCCTTCTATTTTCCATACAATTGTAATTTTTTTTTAGAATTTGGTGCGTTATCAAGGTAAAATACTCTTATTGATGGGTTTTTCAGTTCTCTTTACCTTCGTACTCGATCATGTAACGATATTGTTGGGGGAAACTGGACGTTGATCCTTCTAGGGTTTTGGGAAAACTGCCTTTAGTAATGAGTAGTTATTTGACTTTCCAATTAATTGCAGTGTTTTACTTGTTTTTGCAGAATCGTTTAGATGCCTTACAACGGGAGCAAGCGAAAGAGCGAGAGGAAACTGAAAACAAAATCAAAGGACTCGTGAACGAGGTGAGGAGAAATGCAGATGATGTATTTGGGGTTAAAATGGGCTTCATCAATGCCAGACAAACCTTCGTAAGATTATTCCATCTGGATGCAAGTGAATCAATATGTACTGGTCCAGTTTATTTTTGTTTTTGAAAGTTTGTTTATTCTGGTTTTTGGGTGTAGCGTTTCACTTTGGTGAGCCTGAAGAAAGTTTGAAGCAGCGATTAAGCGAAACAGCTACCGTGTCAGAGTCCAATCGCACTAAAAAGCTCAAATGTGACGTATTAAGTAAAGTTTCTCAAAACCCAGCTCGGAAGAAAGACTTTAAAACGACAAGAAGCATCTCTGTATGGTAAGGCTAATGGCAAATATTGTTCCTTTCTTATCTGCATCTTGGGCAGTTCCTTTTCATGGACTTCCGGAAGATACTAAACAAGAAGGAGGCCCTAAACTACTGTTAAAAGGAGCGCGAAAATGACCACTGTGGCCTGGGTTCGATTCCCGCACTCCTTTACAGAGGACAAAGAACCACTGTGGTTGTTTGACAAGTATCACTGTTAAATTTTGATATCTTACAAATATCTGTACAAAAACCATGAGTATCTTTTGTGTTTTTGTTCGATTCAGCGAGAGAAGAAAAACATCCTTGAACTTCTAAAACGGCGGCAAGATGCCCAAGAAGAAGAGCTGAAACAAAATCTAAAACTGGAGCAAGATGTTGAGATGGAGAAGCTCAGAAAGGTAAAAAAAAACCCTTTCTATGGGCTAAATAACCTAGAATTCATTTTTAAAATAATATTAATAACCATAAAAATCAAAAGATTGGAGTTCAATTGCTACTTTGTTTCGATCTCTCCACTTGAGTAGTTTCCAACTAGATATTCATCACATGAAATAAAATGTTAGAACCACATTGTATAGCTTAAGAAACAATACTGCTTCAGTGTAAGCTTTCATTTGAATAATCACACACTCGGATTTTCTCACAGAAGTAGATGTTGAACTATGTTTTATAGCACACTAAACAGTACCGTATAAAAGAGCTGGTCAGTAGCTTGTATGACATTGTTACTAAAGGGTTTTATTCGAAGGTACTGCGGTTTACGCTATAGAACCTTCTTGAACACTGCACGATGAAAAGCTTTCATT